AAATTCTTTTGACCATCGTTTCACAAATGCAAGTACACCTTTAGCCTTGTTGACTGTCACATTAATGTGAAGATTAAAATTAAGCTTAGGATCCATTGTGATACCAAGGTCCACAAAATTGTATACCTGTTCCAGGTTATGGTTACCTATTATATAAGAAACTGGCAGAACAGCTCTTCGCGAGAAGCACATTACTTTACATTTCTTAAGATTTAGAGGCATAAGATTTACTTTACACCAGTAAGCCATGCTGTTTAAGTCTGATTGTAGCAAAGACCTTTCTTCAATTGAAACGTACGATTTATAAAGTTTTACATCATCTGCATACATTAAAATTTTGGAGAATTTTATATATAATATATATATATAAAGGCCTGCATATGTTGAACTGTAAAACATAGCGGCATGTGTCACATCTAAGGTGACCTGAATTGTTTAGCATTCCAGGAGGACAAGTTCTCCACATTGAAAACACAAAAAATTTGTTTTATACTTATTTTAACACATAAATGACGAATAAATTAACGTTGTTAAAAAAATCAAAAGCATTTCAAAGTTGCCTAAACACAAGTCAAACAAGTTAATAGTACACTGCGTTGTACAATTATAAGACCGAAACATATTACCGTCGATTTTTGGAATTTTTTTTGTTGACAGTATTGTTCATTTTCTTCTATATAAAAAAATGAGTAACACCGGAAAAAATGCCAAAAATCAACGTTATTACATATTATTCGATTATCAGTTTCAATTTCAAGTAGTGTTTCTAATGAATTTGATTAAAATTATATTAATATAAACCTATTTATTTTTCAGCTTTTGTTTTGTGGAATTTAGCTTTTTCTACCGGGTTTTTATAAAAATCTCGGTCTTGTACTCGAAAATATGTAGTTGGCAGCACTAGCTCCCTTACACTTCTTAAAATAGTGGTTAGTTTTGAAGTACAACGTAACATTTTTTCTCATTTCTGTTTAAAAAAAAAAACTAAATTTCTAAAAACAATTAACAGTTTTCTTAAATAGAGCTAACATTGAGTTTTCACTAGGCATTAAATGAAAAAAATTTCACCACTATGTTGGGCTTTAAAAACTACCCGTGTCATCCTGTTTTTCCACATTGAATTTATAAAATGGCATACATTTTTTGTCAAATCTTTGCATGGCGGAAATTCGGTTAAAGAATTAATGAAGTTTCTGTTAAGTGATCATGTCATTGCCTTAGTATAGCAAAACTTTATCTAATTTTTTTTTTCAAATAACTCTAGATATTGAAACCGTTATGAACAATGTATGTATGTAACAGAGCTGGGTAGTTTTTGATTACGATTACA